AAGTGTCACAGGAACCCCAAAATTGCTGCTGAAACCTTAAAAGTGACACAGGGACTCCCAAAGGTGCTGCAGGAACCTCCAAAGTGTCACAGGAATCCCAAAAGTGCTGCAGGAACCTTCAATGTGTCACAGGAACCCCCAAAGGTGCTGCAGGAACCATAAAAGTGTCACAGGGACCCCCAAAGTGCTGCAGGAACCTTCAAAGTGTCACAGGGACCCCAAAAGTGCTGCAGGAACCATAAAAGTGTCACAGGAACCCCAAAATTGATGCTGGAACCTTCAAAGTGTCACAGGGACCCCAAAAGTGCTGCAAGAACCTTCAAAGTGTCACAGGCACCCCAAAAGTGCTGCAGGAACCATAAAAGTGTCACAGGGACCCCAAAGGTGCTGCAGGAACCTTCAAAGTGTCACAGGAACCCCCAGAGTGCTGCAGGAACCTTCAAAGTGTCACAGGGACCCCCAAAGTGCTGCAGGAACCATAAAAGTGTCACAGGGACCCCCAGAGTGCTGCAGGAACCATAAAAGTGTCACAGGGACCCCCAGAGTGCTGCAGGAACCTTCAAAGTGTCACAGGGACCCCAAAAGTGCTGCAGGAACCTTCAAAGTGTCACAGGGACCCCAAAAGTGCTGCAGGAACCTTCAAAGTGTCACAGGGACCCCCAAAGGTGCTGCAGGAACCATAAAAGTGTCACAGGAACCCCAAAATTGATGCTGGAACCTTCAAAGTGTCACAGGAACCCCAAAAGTGCTGCTGGAACCTTCAAAGTGTCACAGGAACCCCAAAAGTGCTGCAGGAACCTTCAAAGTGTCACAGGAACCCCAAAAGTGCTGCAGGAACCTTCAATGTGTCACAGGAACCCCCAAAGGTGCTGCAGGAACCATAAAAGTGTCACAGGAACCCCAAAGGTGCTGCAGGAACCTTCAATGTGTCACAGGAACCCCCAAAGGTGCTGCAGGAACCATAAAAGTGTCACAGGAACCCCAAAAGTGCTGCAGGAACCTTCAAAGTGTCACAGGAACCCCCAGAGTGCTGCAGGAACCTTCAAAGTGTCACAGGGACCCCAAAATTGCTGCTGGAACCTTCAAAGTGTCACAGGGACCCCAAAATTGCTGCAGGAACCTTCAATGTGTCACAGGAACCCCCAAAGGTGCTGCAGGAACCATAAAAGTGTCACAGGAACCCCCAAAGGTGCTGCAGGAACCTTCAAAGTGTCACAGGGACCCCAAAGGTGCTGCAGGAACCTTCAAAGTGTCACAGGAACCCCAAAGGTGCTGCAGGAACCTTCAAAGTGTCACAGGGACCCCCAAAAGTGCTGCAGGAACCTTCAAAGTGTCACAGGGACCCCAAAAAATCTCACAGGAACTCCAACACTGCTGCAGAACCTGCACCCTGACAACCCAAAACTGCTCCAAGAACCCCAAAAGTGCTGCAGGAACCCCAAAATTGCTACAGGAACGCCAAAAGTGCTGCAGGAAGCCCAAAACTCTCATAGGAACCTCAAAAGTGCTGCAGAAACCCCAAACTGTCACAGGAAGCCCAAAATTGCTACAGAAAGCTCAAAACTGTCACAGAAACCAAAAAACTGTCACAGGAACCCCAAAAGTGCTGCAGGAACCTCAAAACTGTCACAGGAATGCCCAAAAGTGCTGCCGGAACCCCAAAAGGGTCATAGGGACCCCAAAATTGTCACAGGAACCCCAAAACTGGTGCAGAATCTGCACCCTGACACCCCAAAAGTGCTGCAGGAAGCCCAAAAGTGTCACAGGGACCCCAAAACTGCCACAGGGACCCCAAAAGTGCTGCAGGAAATGCAACCCCTGCTCTGCCCTGCCCCATCCTGGCCCGGGGTGCTGCAGCAGCTCCAGGGCTGGGGAGATCAGCCCTGGTTCCACAAACCCGGGACAAACCCGGGACAAAACTTCTCATTTCCAGTTCAAACCCAGGCCAGGCACCGGGGCTCAACTTCCTCCAGCTGCTGCAGGGTGAAATTCAAAAAAAATCCAAATTTCCCAGAGCAGCTGGGGCTGTCCCTGCATCCCTGGAGGTGCCCAAGGCCAGGCTGGGCAGGGATGGTGGAAGTGTCCCTGCCCACGAAACTGGGTAAGTTTTAAATTCTATTTCAACCCAAACCATTCCATGGTTCTGTGAGAGAATTCCCCCCACCAAAATCCCCTTTACACCTAAACTGGGGTGGGGTGAGGAGCTGAAACTCCTGAGTTTATTAATTTTGGGATTAAATCCATTAAAGCAGATTTCCCAGGATGGTGGAAGTGTCCCTGCCCACTAAACTGGATGAATTTTAAATTCTGTTTGAACCCAAACCATCCCACGATCCTGTGAGAGAATTCCCCCCACTAAAACCCCCTTTACCCCTAAAGTGGGCTGAGGATCTGAAACTCCTGAATTTATTAATTTTGGGATTAAATCCATTAAAGCAGCATTTCCAGGATGGTAGAAGTGTCCCTGCCCACTAAACGGGATGAGTTTTAAATTCTATTTGAACCCAAAGCATCCCACGGTTCTGTGAGAGAATTCCCCCCACCAAAAACCCCCTTGCACCTAAAATGGGGCTGAGGATCTGAAACTCGAGTTTCTAAATCTTGGGATTAAATCCATTAAAGCAGATTTCCCAGGATGGTAGAAGTGTCCCTGCCCACTAAACTGGATGAGTTTTAAATTCTATTTGAACCCAAACCATCCCACGGTTCTGTGAGAGAATTCCCCCCACCAAAAACCCCTTTACCCCTAAAGTGGGGCTGAGGATCTGAAACTCCTGAGTTTATTAATGTTGTGATTAAATCCATTAAAGCAGATTTCCCAGGATGGTAGAAGTGTCCCTGCCCACGGGACTGGATGAGTTTTAAATTCTATTTGAACCCAAAGCATCCCACGGATCTGTGAGAGAATTCCCCCACCTGCAGGTCCCGAGCTCCCGGGATTTTGGGCGCTGGGGATTTTCGCAGCGTCAGCCCGGGGTGCAGAGGAGGAAGCGGGGCAGTCTGGAGCGGCACTATCTCCTCGGCACACGCAACGGCGCCGTGCCCTCGTCCAAAGTTCAGCTGCGTTCTCCAGCGCTTCCCACCCGCTTTTATTTAACCCCTCCCGTGCCAAAGGCGCGTCCCCTCCGGCAGCCCGGCCGCGGGGGCATCCCCCGCCTGCCACCGAAGGGCAGCACGGGGGTCTCGCCCTCCTCCCGGAGCATCCTCCCGACACTCACACCCACCTCGAAAAGCGAGCTCGTGTTTCCTCATCACGCCGTCCCCGACCCTCCGCAGCGTCTCCAGCGCCTTCTCCATCACCGCATCCCCCGCCGCTCCGGGCCGCCCGGGCCCGCCCAGGACACCCGGAAAAAGCTTCTTAGCGCTGGGCTGCTCCTCCCCCGCCACCTCCCGTAGGTAGCGGCTGATGAGCTCCAGCGAGTCCTGCCGGAGCCCGTCCGGGCTCGCGGGCCCGGGCTCGGGGCCGCGCTCGGGCTCGGGCTCGCATCCGTCCAGCTCCTCCTCGGGGCGCCATAGAGTCGCGCCGCAGCCAATCAGCGCGCGCGGCGCCGCGCCGCAGCCAATCAGCGCGCGGGGGGGGCCGGCGGCGGCCGCGCGGCGCTCCCGGGGCGGCTCCGCGGCGGCGGCGGCGGCGGCGGGGCCCGGCAGCGGCCCCGGCCCCGGGAGCGGCCCCGGGAGCGGCCCCGGCACCGGCCCCGGCACCGGCCCCGGCCCCGCGGGGCTCAGCGCCGGGGAGCCGCCGCAGTAGAGGTTGAAGCCGATGAAAGCTTTCGGCTTCACGGCGAACATGGCGCCCGGTGCGAGCGGCCGGCGGGGTGCGGGCGGGACCGGCGCGGCCGGGTTATATAACCGGCGGCGGTGACGCCAGAGGCGGGGCGAGGGCGGGACGGCAAACCGAGCTTGCTTTTTTTTTTTTTTTTAATTTTTTTTTTTTCCCACCTCCGCTTCCGTTTTCTCGGCGGAAAAGCGGACCGCCCGCTTCGCCCCCGGTACCCCGCTCCCGGTGACTCTTCCCGGTACCGAGCGGCGGCTCCCGCCCCCACTCCTGCATCCCGCCGAGCACAGCCAGGGATGGATCCCGCGGGGAAAAGCGCCCCCGGTAGCGGCGAGAGTCCTCGGGACACCGGCCACGCGTGTCCCCTGCCCTGCCGGAGCCGCCCGGTGCATCCCCGGTTCATCCCCGGTGCGTTCCCGGTTCATTCCCGGTTCGTTCCCGGTGCATCCCCGGTTCATCCCCGGTTATTTCCCGGTACATTCCCGGTTAATTCCCGGTGCATCCCCGGTTCGTTCCCGGTGCATTCCCGGTTCATTCCCGGTTCATTCCCGGTTCGTTCCCGGTGCATTCCCGGTTATTTCCCGGTGCATCCCCGGTTCATTCCCGGTTCATTCCCAGTTCATCTCCGGTTCATTCCCGGTTCGTTCCCGGTTCATTCCCGGTGTATCCCCGGTTGATTCCCGGTTCGTTCCCGGTGCACTCCAGGTTCGTCCCCGGTTCATTCCCGGTTCATTCCCGGTGCGCTCCAGGTTCATTCCCGGTTCATTCCCAGTTCGTTCCAGGTTTATCCCCGGTTCATCTCCGGTTCATCCCTGGTTCGTTCCCGGTTCATTCCCGGTTAATTCCCGGTTCATCTCCAGTTCATCCCTGGTTCGTTCCCGGTTCATTCCCGGTTCATTCCCACTGAGCATCTCCGTGCTGTGCTTGGAGCACTGCCACCCACCTGGCAGAATTTTTGGGGACAAAATGGGACAAATCCAAAACCCCTGAGCCTCACTGTTCTGTGTTTTGGGCACTGCCACCTCTCTGACCAACATTTTTGGGGACAAACTGGGACAAAACGGGACAAATTGGGACAAATCCAAAACCCACTGAGCATCTCCGTGCTCTTTTTGGAGCACTGCCACCCACCTGGCAGAATTTTTGGGGATAAAACGGGACAAATTGGGACAATTCCAAACCCACTGAGCATCTCCGTGCTGTGCTTGGAGCACTGCCACCCACCTGGCAGAATTTTTGGGGACAAAACGGGACAAATTGGGACAATTCCAAACCCACTGAGCATCCCCATGCTGTGCTTGGAGCACTGCCACCCACCTGGGCAGAATTTTTGGGGACAAAACGGGACAAAACGGGACAAATCCAAAACCCCTGAGCCTCCCCGTTGTGTTTTTGGGGCAGCCCGTGCTGAGCCCAGCCCTGTCCCCGTGCCCTGGAGATGTCCCAGCTCCAAATTTTACATTTGGGGGTCCCCAGCTCCTGTCCCCCCAAAAAACAAACCAGACCTGGGGTGGGGGTGTCCAGCAGGGTGAAAATTCCGTCCCTCCCAAAATCCTTCCCGCGGCCCCGAGGAATTTGTCCTTGTCGGGAAGAGAATTTTTGGCAGCAGGAGCAGGAACGAGGAGCTCTGGCAGCACCAACAAAACATTTTTGTGTTTTTTTTTTTTTGGGAGGAGGTGCCAAATTTGAGCACAAACACGAGGCTGGAACAACGCGTCCCCGGCGGGAGCTGGCCGCGCTCCGGATTTTGGGAATTCCCAAATTTTTTTTGAGGGGGGGAATCCAAAGAGTCCTGGGAGCTTCTCCAGGGGAAGGGAAGGTGGGGCTGGGGGAAGGACAAGGCTGAAAAAAACCCAAAAAGTGAAAGCTCAGGTGGGGACAGAGAATGGGGCTGGACGCATTTTGGGGGCTGTCCCCAAAATTTGGGAACTGTCCCCAAAATTTGGGAGCTGTCCCCACACATTTTGGGGGCTGTCCCAACAATTTTGGGGGCTGTCCCCATAAGTTTAGGGGTTTTCCCCACAATTTTGGGGCTGTCCCCACAATTTTGGGACTGTACCGAAAATATGGGAGCTGTCCCCACACATTTTGGCTTTTATTTCCCCTTTTGG